ATACCGGGCTGCGTTCAGGCGCTGCGATATTTTAGGACTGAGCTGTTTGACTGCAGGGACAACGACGACCTCTGCTGTAAAACATGAGCTACAAACGCGATTAAGCCTGGAATATCATCAAACATGACACCGAATCCTTGTACATTAAAACCATTTGCCTACACACACCAGAAGCTTGTATCACAAAACTGGTTTAACAAACTCAGGGTTAGTACATAAGTTTCATTTTAAGAAAACCAAATAAATTCAATCCGAGATAAACAATATCACAACGCTGACTATCAGCAATCCACGTCGAGTCAGGTATTCTTACTGAAACCATGATTACTTCTCAAGCAAGTGCATACAAAGGCGTAAATTCAGCCAATCGCTTAAGCATGGATCGCAACAGGGCTGTGTACTTCGCTGTAGCGGAATTATTATAGTAAAAAGCGAAGAGTTATGAAGTACAATAACGGCGAACAGCGATATCGAGGCGTCACACAGCGGGCGGGGGACGGGGGACGCGGGGTGGTGGGGCGCTCGGTAACATTTGCCGACGCGGGGATGGGGGATTCTATGTTTTTCATGCGAATTTTGCCGTGCACGTTATCAAAAGAGGCACTCAGCAGAATTTTCCAGCGTAAATGCGTACGTATATAGGCTGTTTGTCGTTAAGAAAATGCCAATAATTTAATTGATTTCCAAACAAGTACGTTAGCGTAATTACTCTTAGTCATGTTCATTCCTTTTTGTTATTCAGTATTAAATGAACTTGTCACCCTTCAAAAACCATTCAATATTTCTTTATCCATCACGCACAAATACATATGTTTATACTGATATCTTTGTGGGAAGGGAACTCTCTATTCATTTGTATGGACACAACCCTAGCTATCCCCAGCTATAGCAAGCTTATTAACGCATATCTAGCCCTAGCCTTAAACATTAGCAACCAAAGCAGAGCACTTTTTGATGGCATTCATGGATCTTAATAAAACTTTTTATTGTGGGAACCCTCAAGCTAAAGTAATAGATTTTACACATTTGTGTAAAACCTGTGGTAACCCCCCCCCCCCCCCACACACACACACACACACACACACAAACACTTACAGTGTGGGTATGTGACTAGGGAAGACAACAGACTTGTTGACATATTTTTGGAGAAACATAATCTGGGGGTATTGTCCATATGCATATGCACAAGATGTCTGGGATTTCTGGGTTTTTCAAAACTGTCGTTGAATTTGTTGTTCAACATGCCATAAGATCAAACTTGTTTGGGAGCAGGTTTGTCTAATGTAAACAGGAGTGGTAAAAATAAGTAGAAGGTATAAGTATAATATGATATAAGGCAAGCACTTCGGTATCTTGGGGGGGGGAACAGAGAGGGCTAGTGCTCCCTGATTAAGGTGTGCGGTGAGCAGGGAAATTTGCGAACTGTGTTGGATTCTGGCCCTCCAGGTTCAGAACTGGGGAACCCTGATGTATATAGTATTTGGGAAGTAAGAAGAGCGTTCTGAAGCGTATTTCATGTGATCATCAAGATCCTTTGGCATATATGGACAAATTGTCTTTTGAGAGTCACTGCTTTGGTTGAGATGAAATAATATACATTGGCAATTTACTATCCAAACTAGGTGATTTCGTCTTATCCATAACAGTGGTTAGGTTCTGTGTTCTCATCTGACATGTCACATGGGTCCCCATCCTGCTGCTGGGGCACTGGTAGAACTGTCAGGATATTCCCTGAGACCCCCACCACAGAAAAACACCAATGATGAAACACTTACACACATAGAGCATAAACATGTGCTATGACCTTCCTTTACGTGACAGGAATTGACCACTGCGGCATCTTGCCAGTGGCTCTGAGGATGAGCTTCCCCTTCTGTGCCCCTTAAATTGGGCCAATGGGCATTTTGCTGGATGGGCAGCTGGAGTGAAATCTGCCACAGCTGGCCCTCCCCAGTTTTTTTAAGCTCAGCCTTCTTGCAGTTTGCTTTAAAAGGAAAGGAAATTAATTGACCTGTAGCTAATACTATTCATATTTAGGTTAGTAGTAATACATACCAGTTTGAAGAATATTTTGTGTTTCACTTGAACTTGTCCCCAGGTCCTTGCTGTGCTGGTACTTATGGTGAATATGACGGAAAAAATGATTAATATAGGCAGTGGAAATGCTACGGTTGATAAAGAGATAAAAATTTCCCACTGTGGCCCTATCAAATCTGGCATTCCCTATATCCAATTGGTGAATTCTCTCCTGCCCTTTCACTACCTTAGCTACTGTGTGGTGAGCATACTGGCACAGAATGGATGCTGTCGCATTATCAAAGTGGGTGCTGCACAGTGGTGGTGGTTCCCCAATGGTTCTGTAAAGGGCTTTGGGTATCTGGAAAAAGCACAATATAAATGTAACTTTCATTCATCCTCAGTTATTCTCTATTTTGCCCCTGTAGCCTCTGGGATAGGCTCCAGACGCTTATGAACCTGAATTGGACAAGAGGGTACAGAAAATGAATGAATACTCAGACTTCAGCCAACTCAATCCCCAAAGGCGTAATCAGTGTTTCTGGAACCTGTTAATTATGTTTATATTATTTTGGGCTCATTTAAGTTGGAGTTATGGTTTAAACCCTAACTCATTTTCAGGAATACCTGCAGAACATGTTAGGCATGTAGGATGAGTTACTGTGGTGATGTACTCCACTAAGAAGTAAGCCAGTGTTGTGATATCAGAAACCCAGAGTTACTCTACTTAGCCTCACAACCAAAAAACAAAAACATGTTTAAAAAACATGCTTTTAATGTTGCCATTGTTAGTCTAGAAGAAATCCTCCATAAAGCCAGAATGAAAGTCTTTCTGTCTTTTTTAATCATAATTTCAATGTTGACATGTAAAGTCCCTAGGATGTTTTAAACCAGTTTATATCACATCTTTTGAACTCAGTTTGAACATACATTTATATTCCATTATGAATAATACAAATAACTTGTATTTCTATTGAATATTAATGTATGCATTGCTTTATAAAGCCTTCAGTCTGTTGTACATGTATTGAAAACTACTAATATACAAAGCATGACAGAAAAAAATTACAGCAAAAATCGTTTGTATGTAATTTTACCGTTTATATCCTTCCATTCATTGACGTTCAAATACAACAACAACAACAGTAACACATTATGGTGGGGCATGGCGCAAGTGGGGAAAAGATGACGATCCACGGAATGGTTCCAAGACAGAAAGGGGTTTATTAAAGAAACAGAACACAGGGATAAACTACAAAATAAAGAGTCCACCAGGGGTCCAATGCAACACTAATAAAACTGAACATGAGGCAGGGAGCAAAGACAGGGAAACTACAAACACGAACAGGGGATGGTTATCATGAATCAAACAACATGGGGAAACAGCCACAATGAACCAACAAGGAACAGAACAAAAGTAGGTGCTTAAATACACCACTAACCGGACATAACGCTGGACAGGAACTATAAGGAACTGTAACTGAAAAATGCACACTTACAGACCATAAAATAATAAATGTTAAAAAAACAACAACAACTAGTTGAGGGTGGCCTCTGGTCAGCCTTGAATCCACAACAAAAAGGGGAGTGGGAACAGTGGCCAACCACTTCACCCAATAAGTCACGTGGCCCAAGAAACAAGCAAACATACTAGGAACAAGGGGCTACAAGAGAGAGGAGGGTACAGGACGGCCAATCGGTGAAGTGAACCGAAGGACAGGGATGGACGGGTGCTGAAAGTGACACAACAACAATTTAAATTTCAACTACTTATAAAATAAGTGGTAACAGAAAAATTATTATAGAAAAATATGTGTCACTCCCTTAACTTTTTCGTTAGGTCCGTTCCCACTGCCGTTGCACAGCTCAGGACTGAAACTTTTAGCTAAGATAGTAATTTACTAGTAGTGTGAGGCTCATGGCTTCTATACTTATTGTTTATTTATTTATTTAATTAGTTATTATTATTAACTAGTTCAAACTACAGTATAGAAACCATGAGCCTGGGGATACGAGAAATTTTCAAATGGCTGTTGCTGCATTGCATCACTGACTATTTGCATAAATGGTCTGCGTAAATGGTCACATGGTCTCGTCTATTTCAAACTACAGTAACCAATATGGAGCTGGTCTCTCCATTGCTGCTATAACAGTTGCCACTCTTCTAGGAAGTCTCTCCTCAAGCTTATGGAGTGTGTCTTTGGGAATTTTTGCCCATTTATCCAGAACAGCATTTGTGAGGTCCGGCACTGATGTTGGACGTAGCTACATACAAAAGTAGATAAGTTAACTTTAGTTAGCTAGCTACCCACAAATGCCAAAGCCAGTTTCAGTTGTTTGAATAAAGAATGAATACTCTAGCTAAAAAGATTCATGATTTCTTTTACAACTAGTCAGTTTGGAAAGGGTGGTATTGAGGAGTTAATAATCAGTTGTGTGCTACTATCAATTTCAACTTCTTTTTGACAGTCACATTAAAACTAGCTAGAAAATTGTATCCGTAGTTAATGTTAAACCTTTGAATGACACTCAATTTCCACCAATGACAAATCAAAAGCAGCAAAAACAGCGCAGACCAATACAATCACTACTTGTATGAATTAACATGTTACTGGCTGAATGTTACTGTTAGCTTTAATTCATTGTTTGTCACATTAAGCAAATACTTTAGGGTAAAACCCCCGCCACCTTAATTTTTCCTTTAATAATCTGTTTTGTATGTCTGCAGACGTACAAAATATATTATGGCCAGATACTTAAAGGTCTACAGACATTGAAAATGTCTTGGCCAGACTAAGAAACTTGAGCAGCTTTTCACACCCCAAATACGTTCAGAAAGAGTTGAGGACCAACGGACGTGATGTATACCTGATATGGGTGTTTCTGTTATGTTATACAGTATGTTTGCTGCTAAGTTATTCAGCTAAGCAAGAAATCCTGCTTCGTGATACAGGTCCCAGACCGGTCGAAGCCCACATGGCGCCGAGGGCAAGCTTAATCTCCGGCGCCCCCCGTCTGAGACAAAGTGAAACAAATAATAATATTTATTAATGTAGTAGTAGTAGTAGTAGCAGTACTTGTTGTTGTCGTCATCATCACGGCGACACAACCCTAAAAATAAGGCACCGTGCACGGCTGCCAAGTTGCGCACACTCGTTCGATTTTGAAACCGGAAGTCAACGTACACTTGTGCGCTGTTATGAGTAAAATACCTTTTACGACTTGTTATGACGTTCCTCCTATGCAAATGTGGTAAAACCGTGGGCTTTTTGAGCAGCATACTGGTTCTGATAGCAGTCGTTTTGCACTATTTGGCGTATCCAGAGACTGTAGCGTGTCCAAGGTAAGTAAGGGTGACACACACCGGCGTCGTCAAGCTGTGCACGGACAAACGTAGCCGCGGCCAGACTCGTTTTGAGGCACTTTTCTAAACACCATGTCCGTAGTCGAAATTTAATTTTGATCACAATATCCGTAAAAATTTGTCATGGTGTTGAACCCTGGTGTAGTCGACACGATCATTTAAAACCAGGCTGTGTAATCGTGGATAGAAAGCCAAGCCTCTAACCTTTGCGTCGTGTTTTAAATTGTTTTCAGTCATAGACAAACCCTTATTAATTTTGGTTTCGGTCTAAATAAACAAAAACTAAAAATATAAAAATACATCTGTACTAGAATGGCGAGTAATATGAGGACGTTGGAGGAGGCTTTCCGGGAGAAGAATAAAACCTGTTTCGTCTTGGGCGCCTCCGGGGAAACGGGCAAGCAGCTGCTGAAAGAGCTTGTGGATCGAAAGATCTTTTCCAAGATTACCCTGATAGGGAGACGACAGCTGACCTTTGAGGACAAAGCTCATGAAAGCGTGGTAAGTCAGATACATGCCATGTCAATGTCCCTGTTAAGCCTGTGGACAGCCTACAAAGCGATCTGGCCACATTTATGGCAGGGATGTTTGAGTGTATGGCACATCTGGCTGACGTCAGTGTGTCCTCAAACCCGGAACATTCTTTGTTAATGCGTTTTTTATCGTGTGTGCAAAGCACAGATCAGATCAGCCACCCAGAGGGAAATCGGTTAAGAGCGTGTCCTTATTTATCCTTTCAGAAAACCTACTCCATTTATTTAAAAAAAAATGTTTTGCATCTTTAGTTAAGTCATTTAAACTATATGTTTGTGTTTGTGTGTGTGTGTGTGTGTGTGTGTGTATACACACATACAGGGTGGACCAGTATTTTACAGTACTGATTGGAAAGTGTTTAGTCTCTTAGGTGTTCGGAATGTCCTTCTTCAACATTGATCAATTCCTGGAGCCTTTCCCTGTTACTGTGAGACACTTTAGCACACAAATTCAGGTTATCATCAATGTCCACAAGTACTTGCAAGATGAACTTCTTCAGTTCATCCACTGTGTGGGGCTTCTTCTTAACCTTTTCCTTTACTACGCCCCCAAAAAAGTCCATGGATGTCAGGCTGGGTGAACATATTGGCCAGTCAATGCTGCCAGATTGTTGGATCCAATGCTGTGGAAATGTGTTGTCAAGGTAGCTAATGTGTGTCACAGTATCGGGGACCAGCTCCGGGAATGTATCAGTATCGACGGAGGACATTTTGAATGTCTAAGTGAGATTGAACATGATCGAATACTTTAAAATAAAAACTGTATACCTACTTCTAAAAATAACTTTGTAAAATAAAAACTTTACTTTGTAAACTAGAACCTTTACCTTGTAAAATAAAAGCTGTATACCTACTTTTGACCCCCCGTGTGTATATGTGTGTGTGTATATATATATATATATATATATATATATATTACATATATTAAATATATACATATTTGCAATTAAAGAAAATTAAAGGGTAAATTAAATTTGCTAATTAAGTTCCACTATGTTTACATTTTTTTTACAGATCCAGGAAGTTGTAGATTTTGAGAACCTAGATAATTTTGCTTCAGCGTTTCAGGGTCACGATGTAGGATTCTGCTGCCTGGGAACCACTAAAGCCAAGTCAGGGGCTGTAAGTTCTACTAACATTTTACATTTTATAAGCCAACATGTTAAAAAAATGTTATCACACCGGATTCTACAGAAATCACTAATAGTCTGCAAAGCATCTACTCATTTATTTAATAGTTGCATCTTTATCAAATTATAAAATGATTTGTAAATGAATTTATTTTCAAAAAACAACTCAAAGGCTTATTTTACTTCTTGCTTTGTTAGTATTGTTTTTTTTAACCTAAGACGGATTTTATATTTAAAAATGTGTAATTTCCAAGAATGTGAAATACCCTTAAGTGTTTCAAGTGTTTGCTTTGGAAGCAAATATGCAGTTCATAAGTTTTTGTCAGCTTTGAGGCTACTCTTTTGCCTCAGCATCATCAGCGGAAACTTTGATTGAAAGGGCCTCCTTTTGACTAGGGGTCTAACTGCTATTTGAGCCTAGTCTCCCTTGACTGTTTGGGTACATTTCTCTGAGAAAAAGGATGTTGTGTCAACATTTCAACACTTCTCCCCCATGAACCGCCATTGTGTGTTGGAACCTGGGAAGAATATTACAGCCAGTGTATTTGAAGTTCCACAGTGCTTCAGAATAGATTCGCATACAAACTCACGCTCTTTAGAATTTACTATTGCTGTGGGTTGGGGGGGGGGGAGGGGGCACAAGACAGTCATTGTAGCTCTTTTTAAATCTCCCCTTTAACCTCTTAAAAGCTGTGGAAATTCCAGCACTTGGAAGATGTGAAGTTTCTTGAGGGGGATTCAAGTCTATTTGTTGCTCATAAAACAATATTTAGGGTGATGAGGGGCAGTGTATGTGTCACCTCAGTGAATGGGTCACATTGTTGCAAGGTGATGGGTCTAGCGTGGGGCTGTGGGGTGGTAGCGTGGGTCCCTGTGTACTAGGGAGGGGCTGTCAGTTGTTAGCAGGAATGGTGAATAATGGGGCTTTCCAGCGTCCGATGCTTGGGTTAGCATAGGGCCGATTTAACTGCATAATCGGATTGAAAGCGAGCCATGGTATTTATGTCAGTTCGCATTTCATCAGATGCTGGCTGTGAATTGGAGTCGATGGTACAGAGGGCTAATCCAGAACTAAAGCCAAAATAATTAATGGCTTGATCTAATCCACTCTTCATTCTGTGGACTGTGAATAACATTAAAATGAGGCGAGAGGCAGTTACCAACGTATCAAAATTTTAAATGCACCAATTGGAGCCTCTGCTGAATCCTGGATATTATTTAGGGGGGAAAAGTCAGACATATAAAGATGTTTATTTTTTGAGCTGAGTTGCAGGCAAGAAGACATTTTGGTAATTTAGTAGGGTCTGGGCTAGTGTTTAAAATTTTTGAAAATATGTGTTACATATGCATTAATCCTTTCAGTGTTTCTAAAATGTACCACACTTTCTATCTTCCTCAGTCATGTAATGCATTCTGTAAAGCGGACTTAAAACCGGGACCTCTTGTAACAGTAAATTAAAAGGTATCATTTTACCACATGGGTACAGGATGGTTTTGTTCGAGTCGACCACGACTACGTGTTAAAATCAGCACAGCTGGCCAAGGCTGGTGGCTGTTCCCATTTCATCCTGGAGTCTTCCGCACGAGCTGACAAAACGAGTGCCTTCCTTTACACGAGAGTCAAGGTAAACTCCTTACAGCATACAAGCAGTAATCCTTCTGAAAATATTATTATGCCTTAATGTCAAATATCTAGTAATTATATGATGCTTCAGCATGTAAATTTAATGTGTTTGTTTCCAGGGTGAAGTGGAAGCAGATATTGAGGAATTGAAATTTGAAAGGTACTCCATCTTCAGACCTGCGTAAGTATTCCTTACTTTCCTAAATAAATATTCAACAATCTAAGTTTAAGGGCCAATGAAATTACTGCAGGAGATGCTTTCTGCATCATTTCTTATTTCCTATTCCACACTAGTGTGCACCCTAGATTTCTCCAAGAACATTTCAGACAGTGCAAGTCCTACCATATTTTGCCTTGATCTGATGATGTTTATTCCCTCAGAGTGCTTTTGGTTGATCGCCAGGAGTCCCGACCAGCAGAGTGGCTTGCCAGAAAGTTCTTTGGCGGATTCTCCTACGTTTCCCCCGGTTTTATGTCCATACCCATTAAGTATGTGGCCAAAGCTATGGTGGCCAACACACTCAGTGAGGAAGGAAAAAGCGTGGAGATTCTTGAGAACAAGGATATCTACAAGCTAGGAAAATGTGCAGAATAATGAAATGATTGCATTCAGTACAAGTAAAACTTTTGGTGATTTTTCTGTAAATGTAATTGCATGGAAAAGGTAATATAAAAGAGTGGACAACAAATGGAATCAACACTAAAAACGTTTCTTGATCTTTTAAAATGAATTACTCAAATTATGAGTAATTGGAAGTTATGTAAAAAGAACCAGGTTCCTGCACATTTGCTTGATCAACTTGAAAAACCTTTATTGTATATAAGGCATATTATTATTGTTATCGTGACTTTGTTGTTATAATAATTTTATATAATAACTTTGTTGTTATAATAATTTTTCTGTTTCCCTGTACCCACCAACCCACCTTCTGTGGATGCCCGCTACATAGCTTTTACACATTATAATGGCCATGGTTGCATAGTTATAAGGTGCAAATATAGGTAGTAGCCAGTCAGGTTCCTCCAGCTGGGGCATCCAACCTCACATGGGATCAGGTGGGAGTGGTTCACATGATGAATGTATTTCATTGTGTGGATTGAGACATATCTGTAACAGATATTTTATATTGTGACATTTTTAACATAAGGGAAATTAAGGGAAATTAAAGTCTAAATGAACTTTTTTGGCATATTACTGATATAATTGTTCATTTAATATACTTTTTGTTTGTACCATTTAAAGTACATTTAATAATTGCAGCCTAGTACATAATAAGCTGCACCTGTTTTCAAGCCCATAAACCAAAGATAATTAACTGTCATTTGTAATATGCTTTTGTCAATGTACCAGGACTTTGAATACAAAATGAAGCTCACATCACATGATAGACTTTTACTGAATGGTCTATTACAAAAACTAATCATCAGTTGGAAACACGACAAGGTCATTATTGCTGTTATCATTGATCTGAGTCTAAGGTGTCTGAAAGCTGTTTTTTGGTGCTGTTGGAAATGACAAGTGTCACTGACAACTTTTTATTATTATTTTTTGCACACGATACATAACTCATTTATATTTACCAGATGCCTATATCCAAAAAGGCTTACAGCAGAACAGAGTTATTTCAACTAATTTAAACCCCCTGGTGGGGCATGAAGGAATTGCAGGAGGGTGCTGGTTGGAGGGAGGCCTATTTTGAAATGCCAGTCTTTAGAAAAAATAATAGGAACATGTTTTATGCATGTACACATTATTTGATGCTAACAAATATTAAAGTAATTACATTTTATTTAATTGTGTGTTTTGACCCTGTCAAAAAAGTTTGAATACCACTGCAGTTGAGGAAAGAGGTACAATTTATGTGGGTTTTCTGTGTTTTGCACCCCTGCCCTCAGCAGTGTTGACACAATGCTCTATCTATTACGCTAAACGAGAGCTGCTGATGCAATAATAAATCATGTTTTAGTTTAATGTGCTCACAAAATACTCAGTGGAGCTCAAGATTGCACAGCTTAAAACTACAAGACAGATCGCGTCTGGTGTTGGTTCAAAACCAGACACAGCATTTACTTTTCAATACAGAACAATTGCACAATGCAGGTTAATCCTTACATTTTCTGAAATACATAATTGCACAGCTACACTATTTTGCAGAATAAATAACCGAACAAAGAAAGAATGTTCTTATTTACAGTGTATACATGGGATTAGCTACAATCAACAAGAACAATGCTTATAAATCAAAGTATTTTTAACTTGGCGTTTTCATTTAGAGCAGGGGTGTCCAAACATTTTTTAAAAGGGATCAAATTTGATTAAGTGAAAATACCGAAGAACCAACTACTCAGATATGTTATAACATATGGGTTAAAATGAGGTAAAACATATTTATCAATACATTTAATTTAATATATTGTGATGTCCTACTGGCCAAGGCATGGTAAAGAGAAGAGGCTTATACAGTATTCTGAAAAGAAAATGCCCTTTTATTCACAATCCTGAGAAGGATGCAGCACAACTGACAAGCAAAAGTGGCTGCTGCAGATAAAAGGGGGAAACCAGAGAGGTCATACATCAAAGGGCTGGTCTCACAGTGGTTATGTACAGGGAGAACGGACACGAGGAAAAGGTAAGGACCGGGTAGACTCGCAGGTAAGTTGCATCACTTTTTTAGGGATATGGTACAACTATTTACAATAACGACAATAATTACAATAATAAGACAGGGCTATTTACAGACTTGGAGTGGAGCATGCTGGGATGTGCAAATTTGCTACCACTCTGTTCTGCCACTGCTTATGCTTCGGGCCACTTAGTAAAGTAGTCCATGGCCATGAGCTCGTAATGCTTGCCGGAGGAGGTGGATGGGGATGAGCTGAGGACGTCCACACCAACACGCTCCATGGAACTGCCGACCTCATGGGCTACAGTGCGGCTTGGCAGCAGTCAAGGGGGCTTTTGTGGACTGTGCAGGCATCACAGCAATGAACATATAGCTCCATGCCCAAGTGACAGCCAGATTAGTAGAACCACACCTATGCAGGATTTTGCAACTCCAGAGGTTCATGCGCACAACCCAGCACTGTCTCCTTCAGTGGCTCCAAAGTACAGCAGTCTGTCATGGAGGGCCAGGCTGCTGTCAGCCCGCTGGCACTCCGTCCACCGGACCTCCTCCTGTGATGGCATCCAGGATCAAGGAAGCCATTGAGTTCATCCTCCATTGAAGCACCCAGGGCCTCAACTAGAGGGAGTGGTCCAGGTTGTGAGAGCTACTGAAGGACTTTGCTGACATTTCTGTGGCCCATGACGAGGACTGCATGCACAGCAACTTAGTCTGTCATGACATCATCAGGCATGTGGTGGTTCTGTGTTGACTACTGCAGGCTCAATGTTGTAACCAAGATGAACTGATATCCCTGCCACATATTGACGCACTGGACACCCTAGCCAGTTCATGGTGGTTCAGTGTATAAACACAATTTCAGTCATCACCAGAGGCAGACTTCTCAGGTCCAGAAAGTAAAAATCCAGACCAAGATTTTGTTTCAACCAACCAGTTGAGTACTCTGTGACTCTTTATACTCAACTGGTTGGTTGAAACAAAATCCTGGTCTGGACCTGAAATGTCCACCTCTGGTCATCACACATACTTAATTTGGAATAATAATACAACTACAGAAATAAATCACTGTTTTATTGCTCATGGTTCGACCATGGAATTTTGTCTGTTGGTCAATTGATAAACAAAAATGGTATATTACTGCCAAATTAGGTGCTTTCACAATGAATTTCCAGAACCTGGTCCCGGTAAACAAGTCCCTGGGTATTCTTGACCAGGGACTTTGGCAGCTCCTGGCCACTTTGCCTGTTGCTTTCTCATCACACAACAGGAATTTGGACCTTTATTCTAAATAAGCAGGGGGGATGCAAAAAGTTCATAGGCTAAACTTTGCACGTCATTTCATACGAAACTACACCAACGCACCAAAAACAATGAAAGGATAAATATGTTTATGAGTTTTAAATCTGCCAAGCAGATCGATTTTTAGTTTTCCACAGAATTAAAACAATGTAACATTATCCTGGAGAAAAGTACATTGGTTAGCAATCAAATTTTCCAATGCAAAAATATGGAGAGGCAAGCAAAAAATGTGTTAATGATGCATTAAGTGTAATTAGGGTAAAAAAAAATCCATTTGCTTAATTTTTACTCTGCTACATATATTTCTCTTCATTTCTGTGTAACTTCCAAGTGGTCAACCATTCAGTAAGCAATGGCTGTAAGCACCTCCGCAGTAGTTCATGGTTGAACGAAAAGTACGGAGACTGGAGTAAGTAGTATGGGCGTTTACATACTGGGTTCTCTGGTTTGAATCAGTTATTGTGTTTGTAAACTTGTAGCGTTTCCCACTCGGTTCGGTTTGCTTCCATACAGAGAAAAATCAAACCGTAGCAACAACATGAGAACATTCATGCTTATTAGTCAGATGTGTGTGTGGCGAGAGCAAGACAGTAAATACAGGAAGAAGGTTCTGTATCCTGGGCTATGCAGTTGGACATGTCTCAATTTTATGTACTGTTGCATCAGTGATTTTTTCCCTTTCACAGGGCACTGTTCAATCGACGGGTCAAATCCTCTCTCCTTCAGCTGTTGACTAAACATTTTAAAAAGTTCAGAGTTTTTAAGTGTTGTGTTTAGGAGATGACTGATGAAATCATCTGCCCAGATTTCAAGAAGGCAACATACCTTGCTGCTAGACCAAGTAAGGCCTCACTTCATATCTCCGCTTAGCTGCTGCTACTGGTATGCAAAAGAATCCGGCTGCAGAACACTAGGCAACCTCCGTTAGGAGGACCTTGTGTTCTGCAGCCAGACCCTTCCTCGGCCGCATCCCAGAATGCAAAGCACTCCTGGCTCCTTGTTTAGCTCAAACTCTTAGAGTGCACCTGGAAGTCGGGTCCAATTTTGGTCGGCTCGCGTTCACACCCTCTCAAGGGTCTCAGTACGGTTCTTTTGGTCTGCACCCGAGTGTGATTACTGTGTTCACACCTGCCCAAACAAATAGCACAATAGGGGAAATTAAAAGTGCTGGTATGAAAACCCTATAAAAAGGGTTCCACAACTCTTGTTGGGCCGAGAACCTGTGGTGTGAACACGATAAAAAGTCTCTGGTTCCAGAAAAAGGTACTGGTGGTGTAAAAGGGCTTAATTTTTTTCAGAAATTTAAGGCACCAGTCACACCTAAAGAATGTGCTGTAGCGTTTGATGCAGTTTGTAAAGAATTGTCATCTGACATTATCTCTGAACACATTATTATTGGAGATATTGATATTTGGAACAAACCGTAGAGTAAAAGGCACAACGTACAGAATTGCTTTGAATTGTGTTACACCCCCTGCAGCAAAGTTCTTTTGGTCTGATGTCCAGGTGGGAAGTTCTTGTTGTATTCTAAAAAAATATTGTATTATTAATAAACTAAAAGAAGTTTCCTTCAAGATTTTACATAAAATTTACCCTGTTAAAGAGGTTTTGTAAAAATTTAAGCTAAACATTTAATATACCTGTGTTTTTGGCAATTCAGATAGGGAAACAATATTTAATTTGCTTTTTCACTGTGATCAGTCAAATTTATTTTGGAATGATATGCTAAACTTTGTAAACAGAAATCTGGTACTAATGTAAAGATTGATATATTTAATGTGATGCTGTACTTTGTGTTTCATGGGCTGGATAATGATAACAAATGTAATTAAACTCTTAATCATTCTTGCCATATTCTACATCCACAAAGTGAAATAGTCTGGCTCTAAACCTTGCTTCAATCGACTGATAAATATGGAACTTTAATATTTATCGAATATGTGAAGAACAAAAAAAGTTTCAAACCTTTTAACGTTAAAGGAACGACATTTTATTTGAAATTTAAAGATTAGTCATGCTGAACGGATTGCATACTCCTCCTCTGTTTTTTACTTTAATATATTTGTATGACAATTGTGAATACAGTACCTCTTTGTTTGAAATAAATTTCCCGGGGGAAAAAAAACTTCCATAAAGAAAGTTATCACTGTTCAGATGACACAGCGACCTCATGTGGTCAAAACGTAATCGTGTAATGTTATACATGACCCGGAAATGAACGTATTAACGGAAGGAGGTATCATGGCGCAGTACACAGGTACACGTGAAATATTGAATGAATCTTAGCTTTTTCATTTTTTTTTGTAGATGCAGAATAAAATATAAAAAATCTAGTAGTAAGCGGCATGTGACGGATAGTTCAGCGTATAAGTTGCAACACATGGGTATCTCAGTTAAGATCCATAAATCGGTTGCCTTTTACTGTAACTCGTTAATATTTTCATAATTGCGGA